TAATTATAATAATAATTACAATTAATAGTAATTATTAGTAACAACTAACTTATTACATTAATAGGGATGAAGGATTATATCTGTTGAGGTGAAGGCTGTGGCTAATGTTTGAATCAGTCGGAGGCAGAGGTTGGGACAAGGTATATTCTGTAGTCGGTGCCGGAGGTGGAGTTGATTTGGCTTCTATCGGGTTAGAGGATGGCATAATCGGGTAAGGGATTTCTGATAGGGATGAGGGCGATCGATGGCTTGATTGGTTCGATTTCTTGCATGCTATAGTGGTGTGGAGGACTGGAAATCGGAGGGTTGGCGTGGGATTGAGGCTTGACTTCTTCAGGTGAGATTGTGGTCGGTTGGAATGCTGGATTCATCTGTATACAGGGAGTTTTGTCGGGATTGTGGTCACAAAATCTGGTGGGGTGATCGGGCACGAGTAGCTGTGGTTAGCTCGGTTTGCAGACTGGTTGAAGAGAGGCGTCAGCTAGGTATTGTGATGGTTGAAGTGGTTCAGTCGGGTGGCTTGGTTCGACAGCTAGAGATGGGGATCCGACCGAAGGTCAGAGAGGAGATCACGAGCGGCTTGTGGCTACTATAGTTGGTTGACTACGGAGGAAGCAAAGACTACTTGCAGTAAAGAGGGATGAAGGATGTGGTCGAAGATTGTGGTAGGTTGGAGGTCGGTAATTGGATTCAAGAAAGTGATAGGAAGTGCTTGTATTCACAAGCAACCTATCCAAAATCTGCGAACCAACAGCAGCCAACTGGCTGTCCACGCAGGAAAACAGCAGATTTCTGCTGTTTACAGCAGAAAAACAGCACTTGTTCGGGAAAATACGAGAGAAAACTCAAGAAAAGACTTGTATTCCACTTAAACGATGAATAAAAGAGCAAGATACAATTGATCCTCAATTCGAGAGGAGGATCGATCTCTCCCAAATCTCTAGACGCCGCTAGAGCCCAAAGAAACCTAAATCTAAGAGATCTCAAATTTCAGCCAAATTCAAGATGATCAAACCCTAGGAAAATCTACTACTTAATGCATACAAATCAAAAGGAAATCCCTAAACAGTCCCTACATTCAAATTCCCCTCTTAATTTCCCCAAAAAAGCTTCCTATTCGGCTCCCGCAAGGCGTGCGGTGCGCGCGGCCTCCGCCCAGGCGAACAAATCGCCTGTTTCGCGATATTCGGGCGTGAACCGGTCCCGCCTGGACCGGCTGGACCGGTTCAGTGGACCGGTCTAACAATACTCCCCTCCCAAAGATCCACCTTGTCCTCAAGGTGGAAATATGCTCGTGTTCCCGCGGAGGTGGCCATCCTTGTTTTTTTTTTTTTTTTTCACTGTAT